GGAAGGAAGAGAGAGAGAGAGGGGGATGAGATAGATAGAGAAAGAGAGAAACGAGAACGAGAGAGTATACGTGTATATGTGTGCGTGCGTGTGTGTGTAGGTGCGTGAGTGACGTGCGTATACGGCGGCGGCGACGGCGACGGCGACGACGAGGACGACAACGAGGCGTGTATTGTTCCGGGGCGCGGTGCGCGATTCTCACGACGGCGAACCAGCAACGGGCTCGCCCGAGGATCACAGACGCTTAATTATGTCCGCGGGATCGGCGGTCAGGTCCAGGAAAGAGATCCGCTGCTGCTGCTGCTGCTGCTGTTGTTCCTGCTCCTGCTCCTCCTCTGCCTTCGCCTCTGCCTCCGCCTAAAGAAAGTGCACACGGAGCCTGCGAGGCGCATGCTTCCCCGCCCGCTCCCTCGCCATTTTGGAGGTGAATACGATTTTCTCGGCCCTTTTTTAGCTAGATCGAGCCCTGCCTTGACCGATCCGAGCGGGATTTCCGTCCGTCGCGGGTCGCGGCGCGTGAAACCGCGCGATGTCACGCCACCCGGACGGACGGATGGACGGACGGACGAACGAACGAACAGATCCGTCCGTTGTAACGTGCGCGCTGTAACGCGAGGTGTATGTTATGCATGTTTTCATCTCGTTATCATCGTCGTCGTCGTCGTCGTCGTAGTCGTCGTCATCGTCGTCGACGACATATCGCATCGAGAGCGCAGCACGGTGCAGCGCTGCACTATAACGGGCGGTAGGGGGGGGGGGCAAGGGGGGAAGAAAAGAGGATGAGGACGGCGACGGGAAGAGGTGGGGAGGAGGGCCTGATCGGGCCGACGAGCGTAGAGGACCCAACCCTCTTTACGTCCGCATTTCTCCTCCCTCCTGCGAATTCTTCCGTCGCCGTCATCGTCGTTATCATCAACATCAACGTCGTCACCGTCGCTCGAGTTACCGGCGAGTTTCCTCTCCTTCGCGAAACGCAGGCTTCGACCGAGGCTTGCTCGCGTTTAAGGATATTCCCTCTCGACGCCGCGCGTCGATAATTCTCTCTTTCGTGCGCGCCCTGCCGAATTTTACCTCCCGAGCCCCTCTCCCATTCTCCCTTCCTCCCTCCCTCCCTTCCTCCCTTCCTCCCTCTCTTTCTCTCGCCCTCCGATCTGTTCCGATCCTGTCGCGCGACGGAAACGATCAACGACGACCGCCGGTAGTCCGGTCCTCCCCACCCAGGATCATCTCCTTGATGATACGCACTAGGTGTCAGCTACTCGAAGCTGCGACGAGTAACGTGACTAACGCGACAACAATGACGGTAGTGCGTGGCGGTTCTTGTCCTTCCTGTAGGAAGAACGTGCCTATTTCTGTGTGTGTTGTTTGAGCCGTTACATGTTTTCTTCTTGTCTCCCTCGTCCTCCTCGTCGTCCCCTTGTCCTCCTCGTCGTCGCGATCGCCGGAGAAATCACATTTAGATCCTCGCTCCCGTGGACGAAATAAAAAAAAAAAAAAAAAATGGAAATGACGATGGCGAGGGTGACGACGACGAGGCTCGGACAATGGGCATAAATATTTGTGCTTTTGCAATGTGTCATTCGTTCCGTCCTTGTGTTCGAAAGCTCGCGCAAAGTGCCTCCGATTCGGAGGAAGATGTTAAGCGGAAAATTAATTAACTTCAGAAGCGAATCCCTTCTGAAGTTTATTAGTAATTCTCCCTCGAGAATTTAAAGAGGATGAAATATTTGTTGATAAATTCAAAAGTTTCACTTTGAAGCTTAATTGCAAAATTGGGAATTATTTTCTTAAAGCGAAATTTAAGGATATAAAAATAGATAAGAAAAAGCCATATTTTTAAAGTAATCAATGTCATCGAGATATTTAACGTTAAGAAATGACAATTTGTAGGATATACTAAAAGATACAGTTGATTCGATAACTTGAACATTAAACAAAAAGTTCCATAAATTAACAAAGTTTTAGTCAATCATTTGCTTTAGATTTTTACTGCAATTACTTATCATTCTTGATTAGTTGTGTGTATAACTTTAAAGCTAGTATGATTTATAATTAATATATGAAACATTAGATATGTTGATTCTCTATTGATTTGAGATAAGAATTTTTATGGAAAAATGTCAAGACATTAATAATTGTTAATAATTACAATGTTAATAATTAGAATGTTCTTGTGAACACAAGAAATAATGAAATTTATCTCTTATTTAATTGAAAGAGTGATTTCCATATAGTGGAATCCTGTATTTATCAGAATATTTAGTGTTGAAAAGTAAATAACCGGGTTATACAAATAAAAGTTAGTAAACTATGATCTTCAACATCTCTAAGAAGTTTTATTTCTTAAATAAGAAATATCTTTTATTGTCTTATACAAGCTATAATTTTCTGATATTTTCTAATAATTCTTTTTATATAACATTTTACTACAAATAGAAAAGGAAACAATATTTCTATACTTTATTATGATGTGACATATATTAAATATCATATAATAACTTAAATTTTATTTAGCTCAAAATATTTACATCTAAAATATATTTCTTTTATAGATAGAATGTTAAATTTGGGAATGGACTGACAGAGGATTCAATAAAATTAGACGGTTTGGGCAAGGAATACAAAGATAAGAGGGCAAGGTGTCTGGAGTAGGCCTCGGGCATCAAATTATCAACAACTCGACTATGCCAGCTGTTGCAAGGCCTGGTAATTTAAAGGACCCAGAGATTGCCGAATTATTCGAGAAAAATGATCCGGAAAAAATATTTGAGGATCTACGCGAGATCGGGCATGGTAGTTTCGGAGCTGTTTACTATGCACGATGCCTGGTTACCAAAGAAATTGTTGCCATCAAAAAAATGTCTTACCTGGGGAAGCAGACGGTGGAAAAATGGCAGGACATTTTAAAGGAGATTCGATTTCTTAGGCAACTTAACCATCCTAACACTATAGAATATAAGGGTTGCTATCTCAGGGACCACACTGCCTGGGTATGTGCGAAATATGAAATTCGTTCTTTTTAGTTGATTTGTCATATTTTAAAATAATATTTTCTAAATGATATTAAACCTGTATTGGATGCCGTTTTATAGTTGGTGATGGAATATTGTCTTGGTTCAGCATCAGACATTATTGAGGTACACAAAAGACCATTAAAAGAAGAAGAGATAGCTGCAATATGCGAAGGTGTATTACGCGGTTTGCATTATCTTCATTCTCTTGGAAGAATCCATCGTGATGTGAAAGCAGGCAATGTTCTGCTTACTGAGAATGGTACAGTGAAATTAGCTGATTTCGGTTCCGCGAGTATAAAATGTCCAGCCAACAGTTTCGTAGGAACTCCATACTGGATGGCGCCAGAAGTTATATTGGCGATGGACGAGGGGCAATATGATGGCAAGGTTGATGTATGGTCGTTAGGAATAACGTGCATCGAATTAGGTAATATTTTAAAACATTGATTATATATATCTAAAAATTTACTACTAATCATTAGTATTTCTTTTTTGTGTCATGATTTAAAGTAATTATTATCACGTGTGTTATATAATTTTTTATGTCGGAGTAACAAAATAATTATTTAAATTGCAAAATATTGATATGATTCTTCAAAATTCTTTAATTTAATTAATATCCTAACTTTTCTCTTTATTAAAGAAATTTATGTATGATTTATGTATGATTTCTAGTTCGAATACAGGACTTATATTATTGATATCATTAATTACAGCGGAAAGAAAGCCACCTTATTTTAATATGAATGCTATGAGCGCCTTGTATCATATTGCACAAAACGATACTCCAACATTAAATTCACCAGATTGGACTGATATCTTTCGACATTTTGTTGAGGTGTGTCTCACAAAAAGTCCAATCGAAAGACCAACATCCGGGAAACTGTTATCAGTGAGTTGTCCTTATGTATATCTGCAGCGATACTTTACATCCGTACATTCTTTTCCTTCCTTTCTGTTTTTACGTTTATATGATAATATGTTAGTAGTAGTCTAGTTGTTCTCTTATAGGCTTTCAATTTTACAGCATCAATTTGTCACCAGACCACGTTCTCCTCAAGTTTTGATAGATTTGATACAGAGAACGAAAGCTGCTGTCCGGGAATTAGATAATTTGAATTATCGTAAAATGAAGAAAATCTTGATGATTGACGCATGCGAGACAGAGAGCACTGTTGGTGACGCTGACGGTATATTTAAATTTATTAAACGTCAAATTTAGCCAAATTATTTTAACTTTTTGAGTTAATTGTTAGCTTTACCGATATTCTTTCCTGAATCATCAAAATGATAATCACTTGCTACAGATACTCCCGATGAACAAACAGGTGGTGATAGTAGCAAAAGCAATTCAATTACCTCAGAACACTCTATACATTCAATGGGCGTCTCAGCGAGCTCTCAAAGTTCCTCCACCAATAGCCTGCCGCTGCCGAATGCCGATGGTAATGACTATTCTTCAGGATCTGTTAGAAATCGGCATAAAGTCTCAGCAGGTGGTGTCACTGCCAATCTTCTTGAACACGGTGCCAATAATTTTGCAACAATTAGGACAACTTCAATTGTTACGAAACAACAGAAGGAACATATGCAAGAAGAGATGCATGAACAAATGAGTGGATATAAACGAATGAGGAGAGAACACCAAGGTGCTTTGGTAAGAGAAATAAAATATTCTACATATATCTATATATATTACACAGATTATATTATAGAATTAATGTATGTTATTACGATTGATAAACTCTGAAATTTGTATATGTTCAAAAAAATTTAAATTTTTTCTGTACAAATAACTTGACAATTTTTTAATAATTACATTCTCTCGAGAAAAGATTCTAAATCTCTATAAACAATAACTATCAATTGTTGCGTGAACAAATTAAAAAAATGTGTACGTTTATTAATTTGTATATAATTTTTTCTTTTATTACAGGTGAAATTAGAGGAACGCTGCAAGATGGAAATGGAGTCACATAAACAACTGTTAGACAAAGAGTATGAAACTCTATTGCAACAGTTTAGTAAAGATCTCGAGAAATTGCAGCTCAGACATCTGCAAGAGTTGGAACGCAAATTAAAACAAAATCAAAATGCTGAGAAGAAACTTCATAAAGAGATAACAAGTAGGCAGGAGGCTGATCGTAAAGCTCTGGAAGCTCAACAAAAAAGAGAGTACAAAGTAAGATGATGGCATAAAAAAAAATTGATCGTGATATATAAAATCTTAATATATTTAATTTATATCTTAAACATTCAATTCCGTTTACATAGGCTTATAAGGAGAGATGGAAAAAAGAACTTTCTCAGGATGAGGTAACTCCAAAGAGGCAACGAGATGCTACACTTCAAAGTCAAAAAGATAATTTAAGGCAGATGGAAGCTCAAGAGGAACAGCGGCTTGCGAGAGGACAACGAGAATATTTGGATCTTGAAATAAGAAAATTCCGTAGAAAAAAGTTACTCATCTTTCATAGTTTGGAGCAAGAGCTTCTTCGTGAGGTTTGTGTCTCCTTATTGATAGATTGAAAAATTTTTTTTTAATAATTTTTTTTAAATAATGAAGCATTAATATTTTCTCCAAAATCTTTTATTTTGCATGTTTTTATATTAAATATATACAAATTAATAACTTTTTTATAAACAATAATATTAAAAAAATGATATAATTTTATTTTTTCCTAATATTAATTTTTCCTAATATTAATTTTGACATCCATCTAACAAAATTTCTATTGACATTTTTATTTTATTGAATATGAATGTTAAAAATGGATTTTATATTGAATATGTTTAATAGGAGTTAATTTTTACATTGGATTTTACATTGGATATGTTAAATAGGAATTAAATAAACGACAACAGCAATTAGAACAAGCACATGCTATGCTTCTGCGACACCATGAAAAGACACAAGAATTAGAATATAGACAACAAAGAGCAGTACATGCACTTCGTGAGGATCAAGTGCATCGACAACATACAACAGAGCTTTGTAATCAGCAGGATTACATGCAAAGGGCTGAACGTGATCTACGTAAAAAGCATGCATTGGAACTTAAGCAACAACCGAAGAGTCTCAAGGTAAATAACAATAAATATAGCAATATGAGTATTAGATATTGATATATTGACATTTGTTTGATTAAGAGTATAAATATTTTCAAATAAAACATCGAAATTGATGTTGAAATGTTAATATATTTTTTTGTACATTTGATATTGTACTGACAAATGATTTACAATTTTAGCAAAAGGAAATGCAAATCCGTAAACAGTTTAGAGAAACTTGTAAAATACAAACACGACAATATAAAGCATTGAAAGCTCAAATCTTGCAAACAACTGCTAAGGATGAGCAGAAGGCAGTTATTAAAAAGCTAAAAGAAGAACAAAGGCGTAAATTGGCACTTCTAGGTGATCAATATGAGCAGAGTATCGCTGAAATGCTCCAAAAGCAAAGTATACGGCTAGATGAATCACAAGAAGTAGAATGCCATAATCTTAAGGTGTGATATACATATTATTGATAATATTTTATTATCTATTATACGCTTTATAATCTTTGATAATTATTTGTGCGATGTTAATGGTAAATTAATATTTATTTTACAGGAAAGGTTAAATTATGAATTAGAAATTCTAATGGCATACCAATCAAAAAATAAGATGCAAGCCGAGGCGCAAAGAAACAGGGAACGTCGTGAGTTGGAAGATCGTGTATCCGTTAGACGAGCTTTGCTTGAACAAAAAATGGAATTAGAAACTCAGGAATTCCTTCGTGAACGTAGTGAACGTATACGCCTGCTACATGAAAGGCAAGAACGGGAATTGCAGCAATTTGATGAGGAAAGTGCAAGAATAGGATTCAGGTACGTGATGGGGAGAAAGTACAATATATAATAGACAATGTTTTTTAAATTTTTAGCGAGGAATATGATTATATTCATCAGATATGTCAATTATTATATGCATTACATATACATGTGTGTTTAAAATATTTTTGTATTTTTCACAAATTATTGCAGTGCTCTGGCGATAGCTGAGGCATCGAAAGAATCTTATCCGGACGATGAAAGCCTTAGTGGCTCTATGTTGAGTCTGGCTCATAGTAATAGTTCCACGTCCTTCCCCCCTAATAGTCTTTAATTTTAACATTAATGTGTATATATATATGTGTGTATGTATATAT